AGGAAAGTTTGTGGCAGCTAGCAGGTCTTCTTTTAGAGCTCCTAATATTAATGTGGCTGAGGCTATTGCTGCATACAAAGGTTGTTGGCTTGCGAAGCAACAAGGCTTGAATGACATTGTGCTAGAATCTGATTCTACAAATACAATATTGTGTCTTCAAAGTTCTATTGAGAACGGCAGCTGGGAAGTTCTTCCTACTCTAAGGAAAAATTTGAATGCTAAGGAATGGTTTGACTCTTGCCCATGGTCATGGACTCCCCGGTCAACCAACTCGGCTGCTGATTTTATGGTGTCACCTAAAAATGCAGAGATGAGCAACGGAATTTGGGTCAATAGACCCCCATCCTCGCTCGTTCATATATTGGATAAAGATGGATTGTCATGCCCTCCTTGTTGATATATTTTGTTGGGTGTTTATGGATGACGGTTTTGCATTTGGTGCGCCGTCTATATATGTGTTCCCATCTTCACCCGTTTTCCTTTTGAGAAGTAGTTTGTTCCTGCTCTTCTGTTAGCCTCTGTTTGGGCTATCCTTGCAATATTTTGGCTTTTGCCCTGGTTAATGCCATACCAGTTTTCATAAAATTAAAAATTAAAAAAATAAAAAAAAACACTCCATAAAATATTTTAGGTTTTTTATCACAAATGGTCTCTGAAATTGACCATCACCAACAAGATGGTCATTGAAATTGAAAATCAATCAATGTAGTTCCTGAAAATAGGTGTTGCAAATCAATGTGGTACTTCAGTCAAAACTCTGTTAAAAAATCTGTTAAGTGCTGATGTGGCACATAAATGGGCCCCATAAATTCTTTTTTCTCACAAATGGTCCTTGAAATTAACCCACGACATCAAAATGGTCCTTGAAATTGACCCACAACATCAAAATAGTCCTTGAAATTGAAAATTGATCAATGTAGTCCTGCAAGTAAGTGTCTCAAATTAATGTAGTCATTTCATCACAATTCTGTCAAAAATTATGTTATGTGCTGATTTTACATATAAATAGGTCACACAAGTCTAATTAAATTTAAAAAAAAATACCAAATAAGCTTAGTAATTTAATAGTTAATAAAAAAAATTGTCAACCCAAAAACCCAGTCCTACATCACCTCTGATCTCAACCCACATTTTTATACCTCATTCACTCTTTATTCTCTTAAAAAAAAAAATCTCAATACACCCATCTTTACATACTTCGACACCCTTCACCAAATTGAACCTGGATCGAGATCACCTTTGGTGACAGCTTGGCCCATTGGCAACAACTTCTGGGACATCACTGTTAACATTTAGGCGATCAACATCCTTACAATCTTAATCTTGGAGAGCTTGTTCGGCGCTTCCCTGATGGTCTAGTGATGCAAATAATGACGAGGTCTGCCTTGAAATAATAAGGTTATAATTGAGGTGCGTCCATTATTGGTTGAAAACTATTTCCACACTCCTTCTTAGGCCTTAGTTAAGCCTTGTGCCTTTGAGGCCCTGCTATTAGAAAAACAAAATTTCATTGTGCATAAAGGTATTGATGAGTCAATTTCATATTATATATTTTACCCTATTCTTAGTATGTTTTGGTAATTATTTTGGTGGAATTTTGATACTTTGATTTATATTTTCAACATAGGACATTCGACTTCCTCTGGAGCAAAACATGGCCAAATGAATGTTGGAGGACGTTCGTGAGTTAGTTAGCTTGATCGTATCAAAATATCATATTTTTCTACCAAGCGATGATTTTTTGGCAATAAAATAAAGGAGCAATGCGCGGTGCTGGAATAATGACGTTTTGGGCTTGAATTGCATTTTTGGAGCCCAAGATGACCTCAGATGGGTTTGTGTCCTTCTGGAGATGTGTTCCGAACGTCCTGATCTTCAAAACAAGGTATTATGGGCCGGATTTGGATGATATATGAGGCTAAAACGTGGTTGGACAAGTACTTGGCAGATTCTCCTACTTTATTTTCTAAGATATTTTATTTATTATTTGGTTTCCTAGTTGGAACAAAAGACTACATTTTAGGGTTTGTGCAATGGCATAGCAACATATATTGCTTTGCCGTCCACAATTTTTCTCTACGCTTTCTTTTATGCAACTTTGGAGACAGAGAGTAATTGCTAGGGTTCTTGGAGATTTTCTACTTTAAGGTGTTTTCATTCCTTTTATTCTTAATAATATTTGCTTCGATTTATTTAATAATCCCTATGGAGAACGACCTTTCGAGAACCGTTTATACTACAATATCCTTGTCATTCTTGCAAGTAATATAGGAGTTTTTAACCCATTTGCATTTTTGGTAAAATCCCTATCAAGTATTTAGACAACTTTTTTAATTAATTATTAAACTCATATCAGCACATAACAAAATTTTTTACAAAATTGTGGCGGAAGGATCGTATTGATTTGCGACACCTATTTTCAAGCACTACATTAATTGATTTTCAATTTCAAAAACCATATTGATGGTGTGGTTCAATTTTAAGGACCATCTTGATGGTGTGGGTCAATTTTAGGGACCATTTATGATAAAAACTCGTAAATCTTATGGGACCCATTTATGTGTCACATCAGCACTTAACAGAATTTTTAACAGAATTGTGACGGAATGACCACATTGATTTGCAACACCTATTTTCAAGGACTACATTGATTGATTTATTATTTCAGAGATCATCTCGATAGTGAGGGTCAATTTCAGGGATCATTTGTGATAAAAACCCAATTTTTTAATATTTTTTAGATCCTTCAAAATCTCAATGCCCAAAGATGCTTCATGCCACCTAATTTATGTTGTTCACGTGCTTGCTTACAAATCCGCCACATTAATAGGTTATGTGAAAATGCGAAGGTCAAAGTCTCACGTAGGTAATGGACTAAACCTTGCAATGGTTTAGAATGAGTTGAACTACTCCTCATATTTTCATTGAGTTTTATAAAGAAACATAAACTTTTTTAATAGAATTAGAGCGTAGGTTAGCTAGCTACCACTTGTGTTCTTCACATTTTTTATTTAGAAATTTATCAAACGTGAAGAGATGTGTGCGAATGTGAAAAGGCAGTCTCTCATTGGTGATGTACAACACCTTACAAAAGAGATTTAAACCACTGTTTTTCAGTCTTTGAAACTTTTAAGAATATTTGATTTGATAAATTAAGTTCCATAAGCTACCCTTTCTTTTCTTGCCGAAAGTAAAAATAAAAGGTTAATCTTAATTTACTTTCCTGAATTTTCTTGGTTTTCATACATCAATTTTCTTTCGTCCCAGTTTTTTGCGAGTTTTTCAGTTTTTTCGTGGACCAGTCACCTTTCAGAATATTTTTCGGCCATCTCTGGCAACCATTAGGCTTCCAAATGGTATAATCTTGTTCTACACTTTCCTATCTTCATTTTGATATATTATGGGTCGAATTTGGTTAAGAAACGATTAAGTTACGAAGCTTTGAAAATTGTTCAAATTTCCGGCCAAGAGCTCTGGGACACTTAACGGAGTTTTTAATAAAATGACCAAAATACTGGATGATGGACAATCTTAGGGACCATTTCTATTAATTTTCAATCTTAAAGACCAAAATAATGTGTTATGCAAATTCCAGATATCATTTTGGCTAAAAAACCAATAATTAATAGCTAAAGTTTTCTTATTAAGCGAGCCACAACCTTTTTAATTCATAAGGAAAGAAGAGCTCTACTCTTTCCTTTCCTCTACCCCTAGACCTCCCTAAGGCTAGATTAGTATTGTTGTGCTTTAAAAAAAATTATTTCTGATGTGTTGTGAGAATAAGCTCATTTTTGTTGCTTCACGTTTTTAGTTTTTTCATCCAAAATTATAAAAATAAGTTGTTTTTAAGTATTTATCAAATACCTTTTTTAATTTAGCTTTTTTTTATATTCATTTTTTATAAAAAGACCTTAGTACCAAAATAGTACTAATTCTAATTGGCTAACCCCACCGCAATGGTGTCATGGGCCATGGCTCTCGCTCTCAGCCCCAACTCCACCTGCCTTGCCTCCGATTCCGTCGACCACTCCATCAAGCTGTACATGTTTCTGGGTCAATATCTTCCTCCCATTTCTCGCGATTTTGGTTTTTGGGGTTTTTAGAAAGTTCAATTTGTTTGAGTTTGTGTTTGAAATTAATATCAATAAGCAAAAATTAGATCCCTAATTCGATTGCAGCAACCGATCCATGGTCTGAGCCAGAATCCGACTCACTCCGAAATCGGAGATCTTGACCTAGTTCCTCGCGTTGATCAGAAGATTCAAGCGTTTGACATCGCATTGGATGATCTTCCGGCGGTGGAGCCGCCGTGGAGGTAGGCGACGCCGCTGAGAATGGCCCATGGGCAAAAGAGAGAACATGCGATGGTGGAGAAATTGGGGGAGAAAATAATTTTTTTATTTATTTAAAATTTTTAATATTTACGTGAGCCAGATTGACACATTTTGTCTAGTTATTATCTGTATGGGTATCACATAAGTTTTGACGAAAAGTTTATGAAAGGTTCCAAAATTATGTACCAGATTGGGACAAAAAGAATTTAATGCATGAAATGTTGAAAATTAATATACTTTAAGATAGTAGTCTGAAATTAACAAGTTTTGATGGAAAATTTATGAAAGGTTTCAAAATTCTTGTTTGGCAAGTGAAGCCACCATCGTCAACTTCCCCTCGGCAGCAAAAGTAACAAGTTCTGCCATCTTTCCTTACGAGCTGTTGAACGTAAAGAACACAGTGAATAATCTCAGTTCTGCGGCGGTTCAGGATCCTTTTCTAATCTAAGGATGATAATCTTCATGACCAAGGGATGTGGACTGTTAGATAAAAATTCAACGGTTATAATTATTATAACTTTAAAGTGACCCCTGTTTGTAGCCGTTGGATTTTCATCCAACGGCTCACATCCCTTGATCATAAGGATCTCATCCTTAGATTAGGAGATGATCCTGGTCCGTTCTACGGCTGCCGGCATGTGGGTTGTCAGCACAAGAGGTAGAGGAGCTGTCGGCTGAGCTGACGTCAGGAGGAGTGGCGCAGGCGCGGCTCAGAGGTGCCGAGCTGAGAGAGCTGGGGCGCTGTTCTGGGGCGCTGGGCTGGGGCCATGTCAGGTAATGGACCAGCGGAAGAGGAGGAAGCGGGAACTGACATGGACCGCGCTGGCGCAGTGGGCTGGCAAGAGGATAGCCCAGGCAGCAAGAGTTGATCTTAATGAAGCTTAATGATAATGATATTGTTGACTCGCCACTGCTGAAAATCTCAAAGCGTATCATAAAGACAGAAGTCCGCAACAAAAAATACCGACAGAAAAAATCAGAGCACTGAGCAATGGAATTCCCAAATCAAAGAAACCACCATCACCGTCTTCATGATCAGAGGGACAATGAAGAAAGACAGAGTTACCCGCCACCGGGAACTACGCTGTCTCCCTTTGATCCACCGCCACCTCCTCCAAGGCCTTACCACTATGGAGAGGATCAACCTCCACCCCCTCCAAGACCTTACTACTATGGAGAGGATCAACCTCCATCTCCTCCAAGACCTTACAACTATGGAGAGGATCAACATCCACGACCACCACCTTCCTGCTACAGAGAAGATCAACCACCACCAAATTCATACCACCAAGCAGATAGACCACCACCGATCCGTGTGAGCCATGTGTCCCACTCTTCCCATGGTTATGCACCTCCAAGTCCACCCTCCCAATCCCAAGGGTTTCTCCACCACCAACCACCAGCGCCACCAGTACAGAATTACGACTACCCATCGTCACAAGCTACTCCAAGCCCACGGCCTGTTACCGTGCACCATGTTGCTCATCAAGTTCACCATGAATCCCCTGCTCCTCAGTTTGGAACTGAAACCCATCACACCTTTCACTTGCCCTCTTCCTCTCCCCACAACTCTTACCTCTCTAACAAGCCCGCTTTCAGAATCTTCTCAAAGGCCGACCCCAATTTATCTCTCACCATCAGAGAGGGCAAGGTCATTCTTGCCCGATACCAACCAACCGATGACTTCCAGGTCACTAGTCTCTCTTTCTCCTCCCCTCCATTTGATTTATTATTTCTCCTTGTGTGTGAATGTGATTGGATTTGCTAATTTCTGGATTGGATTGATTGCAGCGGTGGTATAAAGACGAGAAGTACAGCACACAAGTGAAGGACGAAGAGCGCTTCCCTTCCTTTGCTCTCATCAACAAAGCCACTGGCCGCGCCCTCAAGCATTCCATCGGAGCCACTCAGCCTGTATGACTCTTGTTTCCAAAACTCTATAATTTGTTGAATGTTGTTGAAACTTGTCAAGCTTCGCCTTTTTTTATGATTCCATGTATTTTGTTTGCCATTGCTAGTAGTAATTTTGAAGGTCCAGCGGTTGTTTAATATGTCACCATGAATACCCCACTTGGACACTGTGTGGAGGGAAATCTTCAGAATTTCAAAGCCTTTCTCTTTTAAGTTTTTGTTTTTCCTGCCCAACATTTTTGTCTTTAATTGGTGTTTGCCTTGCTATGTGTTTTAGACTTGTAAAAGTACCAATTTCTATGAAAAAAAAGAAATTTATAAGTGGAAGAAAAAGTTTCATCAGAGTGCCCCCAGTCTTGTGCACATGCGAATTATATTTCTTGGATTCTAAAATTTTCATTGCTTGGTGTGGAGCCTAGAGATGCTATGAATTTTAAACTATCAATACTAAGTCTGTCTTGTTTCATGTTGCAGGTGCAGCTGAGACCTTATAATCCAGATGTTCTTGATGAGTCTATGCTGTGGACCGAGAGTGCGGACTTAGGTGACGGTTTCAGAACTGTTAGGATGGTTAATAACATTCACCTTAATTTGGATGCTTTTCATGGTGACAAGAAATCTGGGGGTGTTCATGATGGCACTACCATAGTCCTGTGGAATAAAAATAAAGGAGATAACCAGAGATGGAAGATTGTACCTCACTGTAAGTTTTCTACATATAACTCGTAAAACCAAGAAATTTCCTTGCAATTTTTTCATTATGCTTACTTCCACCTTTGGATTTCTTAACAGTTTTCCCAAGTATTGTCATCTCTCATTAAGTCATAAGATTCCTAGTAACTAATTTCATTCCCTTTTAATGATGCTAAATGCAGGATCCTTTTGCAGTAATGCTGCCATGAGTTATTACAGCATCGCGTGCTTAAAAAGGTATTAAGTTTGGAAGACTCCTCCTAGTTCTCATGGTGAGGGATTTGAGTTTGATGTTTATGATGTGTGAAACTATTGATGTATGATTAAGTGTCAACTACTACAACTGTGGCTCATACGTAGCGAAAACAAAGAGTTGATTATGTATTATAATCTATCAAAATAATTATCCACTGTTTTTGAACAACTTGTTGCAATGCCTAAATTTTTTCGCTGTCATTATTACTTGTTTGTTTACTTAGGATGCTTTTAGTTACACCTCAAGGTACCAATCATAAAGGCATAGGTTGATGTAGCGTGTAAAAGATAAGTATTGAATTCTTGAGGTGCGATTGCACTTGATTATGGATCACACTATAACAAATGTTCCTTAGGCCCGCCCAAGTGCATGTGCTTGGGTTGCCTAAATCTCTCCTAAACCAATGGTTCCCAAGGTTCGGTTGAACCACCACAACCAAGGTCTTGTGACTGAAATAGTTTCCGAGGAACTCATGCAGACAGATCATTGAAATTTTCAGAAAATGGGTAGTGAAGATACGGGACTCGAGATGTTATTGAAATTTGATGCTTACCCATTTAGGTTAGTAAATTTTTATGTTTATGGTTTTAGACTCTGTAAGGTATGAGAAGTTCTGGTGTTGAATCAAGAAAGATGATCTTACAATTGCTGAGTGTCGGGCCTGTCTTTTCTTTGAATTCTTTTCGAGTGTATCATCCTTCGGGAATACTTTTCCCTTTTGAAGTCAATGTAGTAGAAAATTGCATTAGATGAAACCATGCTCTGGGATGTGTTCGTTTTCCGTTTTACTTGAAAATCTATCTTAGTTACACGGTGCTTCTGAAAAATATTATACAGAGATCTGCTTCTCCTAATTCTGTCTTTTGAATTGGGATAAGAGCAACTCCACCCCTATCCACTTTGCGCCAGCACCCAGCCCATTTATTCACTTAATTGAACAGTAACAGACTCAATGAACAGTAATAGGCCAAAGCATCTCCACCCAAAAAAAAAATGTGCTGGCACCTAGTCTAAAAATGCGCTGGCACAAACGATCTCCACCCCTACAAAATGCGCTGTCACCCAGTCCATTTAAAATATTAAATAATTTTTTTATAAAATAATAAAAAAAAATAGTTTTAATTTCGGATAGGATTTTTAACCAATCTCGTCACGCCACGTGTCATTATCCGAACGTACTATTTTTTGAATAGATTTCCGCTAAGATTGAAATGTGGTGTAAGGTGGAAGATGAGGGTTAGGTATTTATAGAAAAAAAAATTAATTTTTTAAAATTTTTCTGTATTTTTTTAAAAATTTTTGACATTTTTTAATAAATTTTAATGTTGTAATTAATCGGGACCGTTGGATTTGAAAAATAATCAAATCCAACAGCCAACACGATGCCACGTGGCCAACGGTCAAATTTCTGACCGTTGGGCCTTTTTTTTTGGTGAAATAAACGTGAACCGTTGATCTGTGATCGGACGGTCCAATTTAAAATTGAAATTCAAATTTTTTTTACAGTTGGAAATCCAACGGCTCTGAGGAGGCCACGTAGACCTCACCCGGATGAGAGCAAGTGGACCTGCACGCGGGCCCCAGCGCCTGCAAAGCCTGTCGGCTACGCGCCCCGGGCACCGCGTGTGTTGCACGCGCCAACAACACAGACCGGCTCCTGGGTCTGTCCATTTTGGGCTGGGCTGTTGACTGGCACGGGCTGGGTGCCAGTCAATTGCACGGGCTGGAGCAGAAAAATGTGGTGCCGGTCCATTTTCTTCACTTGGTGCCAGTCCATGGGGCATGGACTGGAGTTGCTCTAACGTACGGAAGACCGACTTTGAGCTCTGCTGTCATATGATATGCATGTAAAAAGCCTCGTACTTAACCAGAGTCGAGCTCAAAGAAATCTTGTTTATTCATAATTTAATAGCCCTAATTAGTCGCTGTGTGTGGTTACACTTACAGCTACAAGCGTCATCTATTTGTGCATGATTGAATCCCAGAAAAGGTGCCTAAAACGAAACAGGATGGATGGAGTGTTCGTGTACTCGTAAGAATTCGGACCTAGACATCGGTCTGGACGTGGACTAAAGTTGGATCTAGTTAAACTTAATGGCATTTGCTAAAGCACGAACAGAATTATTCGATTGACGCTCCCAATTCTAAAGCACGAACATGAATTATTCGATTGAAATCAAAGGTTTGTTCGTGTTTGAGAAGCGACGTCAATGGCTAAGAGAAGAGGATGGAGATGTCGCACCAAAATACAAAGATATTGCTGCAATCTTGATTGCTTTATGTGATTTTTCTGTTTTGAAAATGGTTTATTCGTAACCACCTGGTGTGGTCTTCTGCTTGAATTTTTTTTTTTTTTTTTTTTTTTTTCCTTTTTTCCAGTCGGCCTTCTCCTTAGTTGGGTTGGCTTAGAGTGGGGACAATTATAGTGGATGTATAGGAGTTTATGTCTAGGTTTTGAAAAGGAAGAAGGCAACAAAAAAGAACCAAGCAGAGCAAATAAGAAAGCAAGAAGCCAATTAGTTAATAAGCTGGTAGAACGAATCTTATTGCTTTTTGGGTTCCACATTCCGATGGAGGCAAAGGATGAAATGAGAATTTCATCATTCTGAATGGAGACCATGGAAGTGATGAAATGGAATGGATGAATGAAAGGGATGAAATGACCATCTTATCCTCAAATGTAAGCTACACGTTTAGGCTACTAACAGAGGAACGATGAAAGTTTAAGTTTTGGGCATAAATCCTAACAAACTTCATCAGAGAGGTTTAAATCCGATTTTTTTTACAAAGACTATCTTCCGAATACCTTATGATCACATGGGTCATTTATCTGATTAGACCTTCAAATTTTGTTGCCTAATCATCAAAACACCTTCCTTCACTCTTTTATATTTCTCATTTCTATCATATAAAAACATAAAAAAAAATAATTAAATGGTTACAAACGACCCTTTTATCTCTAGAAAATCAGAAATGAATTTACTGCAACTCGGATTTTTTCTATTTTAGTGTTTACTTTGAGTTATTTACTTGCTAATTCCGATAGCCTAATACAAAGACATTTTATTCATCAAATTGATTTTGACTCTTATTCCTTCAACTTAATGTTAATGTAAACAAGTGAACATTTGGCTACGCTTTCGAAAGTAGTTTGTAATTTTTTCAAATATTGAAGTAAGACTACCTAGAAATTTTCTATTCTCCAATTATTTGATCAACGTAGAATGTATCGATGTGGCAACTCTAATTTTGTTCTTGTGTATTGATGAAAAACCGACATCGCTTCTACTATAAAAATTAAAAAAAAACAAAGAAAAAAAAAAGTCCGGCATGACCTCAAAACATTTTATTCATATTGGTATTCCATTTTACATTGCTACTAAAAATGTTTTCAAGATTTTCGGTTTTAAAAAATCTTCATTGATTAAACTACCAAATAATCCAAATTATATTTCACGTTTTTATTAATAAAAAAAAAAGTTATTTAATAAAACATTATTAAACGAGTTCTTAGATTTTATACACTTTTGAGATGCCTCATTTTAAACTTTTCTACATTAAACATTTGTTACTTCAAAATAGTGATACCCTTTTGATTAAACCCTATATTTTAGGAATATTTTTAATTCAATTGTTTTTCAAGTTCATTTTAAATTCATTTTTATGTCAAAAATGCACTCAATAATTTTAATTAATTTATTGCTATTTTTACGGAATCTCATCTCTTCCTCAGTTTAAGAATTCAACTACATGTAGTGAGGGTCGAGATTAATTTGATGAAATATAATAATCAAATATATATCTAAAATATTTAAGAACTTTAAACATATCTAAATTATTTGTCACTTTGTTTTATACAAAAATTGTTTATAACATTTTCTTCATTATTGTACTATTGTTGACACACCCCGACCGAAATCAAGGCGTGCTGGCCGTCACGTGAGGATGACGTAGCCATGTGCACAGTGCGCAAGCAATAATAATATAAGAAATGCGAATAAATAAAAACCAAACTAACTAGAGCACTAGATAAGTTAAGGTGCAAGACGAAATAAGTGTGAATTCACAACCAGAGCATAAGTAGCCTAAGTGCAGTCTAGCAGGACAAATACTAATTATACAACAGCCAAAGGTGACCATACAATGGTGATAATCTGTCAGAGCTGCCGTGAATTCCTCGCAAGCCACCACAAAGCACTCCTAACTAGAACCTGAAGGGGTGCAAAACAGAAAGTGTGAGTGGGCAAAAATAAAGCTTTTCAATTACCAAAGATAATAACCCCTCGCTATAAAACCTGTATAATTTTCCAGAAAATAGAATATATATATATACACACACACACACCAGAACCATGCTCAGAATAACAGAATTCAAAAATATGCCATGTCGAATATCTTAGCATAAAAATATGTAAGCCAGGTGATATAAATCAATGTAAATGATATGTCAGCTAGAGTCATCTAACGTGACCTATATGGCTGAATCTAAAGCTCATCCATTTAGCCGAAGTCACCTAACGTGACATGTACGACTGAAATCCACATCTCAACAAATATACCTGCACACGAGTCGGAACCACCTAAAGTGGTCTGTACGACAGGACTAGATGTAAATAAATACGCTCAAATGCTACGATCACGTGAAGACTGTGCGAATAATCGCGGGTCACCTACGAGTCGGAACCACCTATTGTGGTCTGTACGACAGGACTGTGCACCTAACTTGGATCCAAGGTAAGCGTATGGTGCGGGAAGTGAACATCATGTGAAGGACTGTGCCCTAACCACAGGCGGGAGCGCTAATACTGAGGTGCAGGTTTATGAGCTCTCAACATATCTCACATATTTAACCAATTTACATAAACAATCTACAACTCATCTGGTACTTACCTGAGCATCCACAGCGTCAAATCACAATATGCACATATCATACAAATTCATAGTCTAAGCATAAATCAATAAGCATGGCATTTCAATTATAATTTCATTTAAATCGATTTTCTGGGAAAAATCTCAAGTATATAGGTATATACGGAAAACCAAAAGCCCACTCACTGGTATGTGGAAGGGTTGTAGCCCCCAAGCCTCGATTGACTGTGTTCGTCCTGAGGATAGGTCTCACCTATATGCGAAACAACTATATAAACGTTAATTTAAAGCACAAAAATGAAACTAGCTAATAACTTCTCATACATTGCTC